GATATGGTATGATATTCCTAATGTTATTCAGTTCAGTAAATATATGTTTCCATTAAAAACATAATTGAGGGAAATAAAGAAACAATTTGGTCATCTAAATTTCCAACATGAAAAGAAAAAAAAATTTAAACCCCATAACATTTTTTTTTTCCACTTATATTAATTTCATTCACATTTTTAGTTTGGCTGACTTTGCTCTCTATTTTATTTTTGAATAATGCTTTTCCTCATTTTTTAAACTATGTAATTTCCTAATACTTCATATTCAGCTTTTTCTGATTTTTGCACAAATTTGGAAGATTTTTTTTTTTTAATTTATAGTGTCTTTATACAGATTGCTCTACTTTTTGTTTCTTATTGTAGTTCACCTTCCTATGGCATGTTGCATCAATTTTTTAAAGATTTTTATCTATTTATTTGACAGACAGAGATCACAAGTAGGCAGAGAGAGAGAGAAAGAGAGAGGAGGAAGCAGGCTCCCCGCTGAGCAGAGAGCCCGATGTGGGGCTCAATCCCAGGGCCCTGGGATCATGACCTGAGCCGAAGGCAGAGGCTTTAACCCACTGAGCCACCCAGGCGCCCCGGTTGCATCATTTTTTATTACAAATTGTTAGCATTCTTATTTCTCATTTCTAATTTCATCCCATTTTCATTATTTTTAAAGACTTTATATAATTTGTATATGATAAAAGTAAAACTTTGAAAATCCCTCTTTCTATTATTTCAAGTTATATTTGTTAACAACTGATTCCTTGGGCTGCACAGATAATAGTTTCCTGTTTTCTTACACATTCAGCCTTACTGTGACTCTTCATTTTATATATTTTACATGTGAGTCATTATTTAACTTTTATACAGTTGAACCTGAGATTCTTATTGTTTTTTTGTTTTTTCATCTTTGAATCAACACGTATTAAGGTGCAGCTACTGAATTTCATTTAGTGGAGAAAATTGCTCACAATTGCAGAGAAATTAGAACACAATAAAACTACTTAATAAACATATATGTATATATCCATGTACATACATTTATTATAACATAAATATTTATTAGGTTGACATTTATGTGTAAGTAACTGAATCCATAATTCTAATAATATAAAAGGAAAATAGTTGAACTTATATTCTTAGAAATGAATGGAAGAATAAGAAGTTTAAAATAAACCTGAAAAAATGAGTTTTATTCATTCTGAAAACATTCATTTAGAGTGAACCATCTGTCAAAATCATATTATTATAAGTATATACATATACATTTAGTATATTCCTGACTATGAAAGGATAAGGATATGTTTGCAAAGATGTGGTTATAGTGGCTTGAAATTTAAATAGGGATTTTTATGAATCTACTCAGATTCATAGCTTCTCCGTGTTTCCAAGTTTCTCTTTTTAATTTAAAGTTTCCTATTCAGTCTTCAAAAATTATAGTGCTAATTAATGTAACATGTGTAATAGAAAAAAAAACACACGCTTATCATACAGAGCATAAATACACATCCTTATAACTGTTTGGGAGAGAAAATACCTGTTTTTTATGCCATTGACATATGATGAATGTTGAAGAAGATGAGGACAATTTTCCTACCCCAACACGACACATTTGACAGGCTGTTGGAGAGTTTTATTCAAGTGAAGTCTTCATTCTCTAAGTTAGAATATTCACTGAGTGCTTTCTATGTTTCAATCTCTTCTATATGGAAAGTTAATATTTATTACTTCTCACTAAATGTTGGTGTATGTATTCCTTTGACTAAAGTCATCTAACATGTTTTCCAAATATTCCTTTGGAAAAACTGTCCACTGACTCTAAGGATGGGATTTTTTAAAGAACATCACATTTTTTTGATGAGACTTATATCCTTATTACCCAAGCTAATGGTGCTCTTACCTTGGTATGTGGAAATTTGAGGTAATGATGAACACTGGAGATCAAACTTAGTGTGGGTTGAGACAGATTACCTATGCAGGCTTTCATGAAGTAAGAAAAAAAGACTTGTATCCTTAACCCCTGACTATTTTTGTGGGTTCTTGTGTTTCACTGACTTCCTTCCACCACCATAAGTAGGCGTTATGTTACTTGTGTAAAGAGGGAAACTACGGCTAATAATTAACTGTGACACATAAATGTTAATTCAATGAAGCACATCACAACTAATAAGCATCCTTCCTCCAGTGTGTCATTTGAATTTTTAAAGTCACCATTATCAAATCAATCTACTTCAAATTATGAAGCATCTGACTTTATTGGTTTTCTGTTTATCAGAAGTTACAGAATCAGTGGTTGCTATATTTTACATTAAAACAATCAACTAATTCACTCAAAAAGCAACTATAAAAATCAGATAGATTGATCAGTTCTGTCAAGTAGGCATTAACTGTGTTGACCATTAATTCATTTTCATCTCAGTTTCTAAGAGGAATCAGTGTTCCTTCATATTCTAGCCTCACTCCAAAGAATGTTTATTACATCAGTAAATTTACTGACTAGTAGCCAGTAAGAAGTTATTGTCTACATCTGGACTTGTCATAAAACTTGGAAGCAAAGAAACTTTCTGTAGGGGCACCTGGGTGGCTCAGTGGGTTAAAGCCTCTGCTTTCAGCTCAGGTCATGATCCTGGGATGCTGGGATCGAGCCCCACATCGGGCTCTCTGCTCAGCAGGGGGCCTGCTTCCTCCTCTCTCTCTGCCTGCCTCTCTGCCTATCTCTGTCTGTGAAATAAATAAATAAAATCTTTAAAAAAAAAAAAAAGAAAGAAACTTTCTGTAATGGTTCACTTTTTAATGAGAGACAATTTCACTAAAGGTCATTTCAGTTGTCAAATGAAAACTGTAAGTACTGACAGGCTAGCAATATGTCTTTGTTAACCTCATAACACGGCCACCTAAGACCCCTTCATAACCTGAGAAATCTATGATCCGATAGGTTTTAGGAGTGCTTAGCTCAACTGGAAAACAACAGAGGTAGGAATGTTGAAAAGGGACTAAGTCTGGACTTCTAAATTAGGGAATGGCAAGGGCAAACATTGCATGGTTCAAGATGGATTTAAGAGGTTAAGAGAAGAGCCAACTAACTAACCAAGCTTAGATGTGGTCCTTTGACAAGGTTACATCAAGCAGAAATAATCCACGATTTTATTAATTCTTCTGAGAGAAATCTTTATTGTAGAAATTATCTCAGCATTTTAGAGACTTCTTTTTTTGTTGGGTTAATTAATTGCATAATCTCATTGAGACTTTTTATTGTTGTTTTGATGTTTTGATTAAATCAAAAAACTTCTAGTGTCTCTCTGAAGGTGGAGAAGAATTTTATCCCTTGATTGAGTTAAATCCTTAGCAGGTAAAATCCAAATGCTGTTCTATCTGTATAAAACACAGGGAGCCTAATATCTCTACTCACATCAGAAATGATGAGGACCATTAAATAATAATTTAAAAGTTCAGACTTATTTAATTATATTACTCATAATATACATATTTACCTTTCTCCTACATTCTCAATGTTCAGTGTCAGTTTCTTGAATAATCAAATGATGTTTATGAAACTTTCTGTTAGCCAGTCTTTCTCTGGATTCCATTTTTCAGTTAAGAAAACCAAATTATTTTGTAATATTTCACCGAATGCTTCTAAAGAAATCTACCCTGCAAGAATTCCATGTGTCCATTTTATGTATTCAGAAGTTTGTATTGAATAACCACTGGATTCTGAATGCTAGAGATACAGCAGTAGAAGTAGAAAATAATAAATCAGAAAAAAAGGTTTATACAATGTTTGGTGGTGATAAGGGGAAAATGAAGCAGGGAAGGTTTATAGGGAGTTTGCATATAGAGTTTGTAGGGACTTGCAAATTTTACAAAGTAGAGTAGTAAGAGAAGTCTTCACCAGAAAGGTAGCATTCAAATAACACCCTAAGGGAGGTGAGCAAGGGGCAGAAGACTGACTTGATTGACATTAACATTTTAAAGATATAACCCTGGCTGTTGTGTTGAGATAGACTAAAGAAGAGGAGGGCATTGATGAAAGCAGAGAAATCAATTAGAAGGTTCTTGGAATGATCTAGTTGAGAGATGATGGCAGCTTGGAGTGGGGTGGTAGCTAGTAATAGTCACTGAGAAACGGTGGGATTTCTGATAGGTTTGGCATCAGAATCAAAGATATTTATTGGTACTTTGGATGTAGGGCAGAAAAAAAGAAGAATTGAAGGTTTACAAATTTTTAATTTCCTAATTAGCACAAAAGCTACTCTGATCATGACTGTATCACTAAACTCTTTCAATACCTTCACATGATAATTTCGGTCAATTAGTACATATTCATTAAAAACTCACAAATCCTAACATGAGCAAAGATGAATTGTTCTAAAAGTAATATCAAGCAAATTTATTTAATTTCTACAATCTGATTTTCATGACTATAGAGGAAAAACATGGAAAGAAGTAGCTCAGTAATCATGGGAATGGGGGTCAGTCAAGAAGCCAGTGTGGTTGAAGCCACACTATGGGCCTATGAGCTTTACATGTTTAACTCTAGAAAATCCATTTCTGGCTTCATACATCCACTTCAAAAAGGCATGCCCTTGCTCACAAGGGAATCCTATAACACTGTATGGAGATAGGTAATCCCAGATCCATCCTCATTGCTAAAAAAAACAAAACAAAACAAACAAACATAAAACCAAAACAAAACCAAAAAACAAATAACAACTCACATCACTTACTTTATTTACCGACAATGAAAGTAAATAGCATTGTCCTCACATTTACACAACACATTACAACTAAGAAAATAAAGAATACAAATGCTCAATGGTGTATGTTTTCCTTAGAGAAGTGAACTGAAACATATAGTGAAGCATATATAAGAATCATTAATAAATACTTTTGCAAACTTTTTTTTTATTTTAAAGATGCATTAAAATATAAGGATAAGTTCTAGTGAGTGATGTAAAATTCGGAAAATATTTTGACTCTTATTGAACTCGCTTCTTTCTCTTTTATTCCAGAACCTACAGATAGGTTGCCTATGCTATTAATTGCAAATTCTGAAACAATTGAGGTTTTCTATCTCAATGGAAGTAAAATGGCAACCTTGAGCTCAGTCAATGGAAATGAAATTCATACTCTGGATTTTATTTATAACGAAGACATGATTTGTTGGATTGAATCAAGAGAATCTTCAAATCAGCTCAAATGTATCCAGATAACAAAAACAGGAAGATTAACAGATGAGTGGACAATCAATATTCTTCAGTCCTTTCACAGTGAGTATTTCAATTCATATTCAATTCAATTCACCCTTTAAGGATTTCATTTATCAATAAACAGGATTCTTAGATTTTTCTAAAATACTATTTGGCTATCAGAAACCTATATATGCAAATATGAATATGCTTAAATAAATGTATTCACTACCTGTTTTGAATATGCACACACATACACATTTTCACTGTTTACATAAGTAGTAAGTTACAGAGTTAATTTTAATTCTTTCCTTAATGCTTATTACAGTGTCACTTAAATGAGAATTGTAATTTGCCACTGAGTGATAGTTCACGATGTGGTAGTGAAGGTGGGATTTTTAAAAATCAAGAAACAGAATTGATAATTATAAGCTCATCAGCTGTAGTGTTTGTTAAAATGCTTTAAAACTATCAGATTTATGCTAATTAGTAACAACTACCTGTGTTTGTTGACTTTTTTCTTAGCAAATCAGAGTTTTTATGCATCTTCCAAAAGAGTGATTTGTGATTTTGATTTACTTTGATTTCTCATGCCAGAAATTCACAAACTAGCAACTGTACTTCCTACATATTACCATAAATTGAAATCAAATTACATTGTTACACAGACCTACACATTAGTTTCTCCTTTTGTGCTGGTGCTTGCTCTCTCTCTCTCTCTCTCCTGACCTCTACCCCTCCAACATAAGAGTGTAAATTTTATTTGTGCTTGCCTGGAGAAAACTGTATGCATGAGAAATTCAAGATATGTCCACTTATTTTATGATTTACAGGAAAAAAATATTCTTGAAAACACTGTGAATGTAAAAGTTGGTAGAAAATAAAGAAAAATGTGCAGTCAAGTTAAGAAGGAAAAAAAGTGCTGTGAAAGAATAAATACAGTTTTCAGATGTAGAGTGTTTGATGATTTGGATTCAATAATTATATTTTATTAATATTTTTGACATGCAATTAAAGGGATTGACTATTAATCTTTATTAAACATAAGACATAATACCATGTAATATGTAATAAGTATGATTACATTAAATGAATCAGTGGCAAAAATTATAAAAATGGAATATAAAAGTATGATTGTATATAGTTAAGTGAACATAAATAAATGTTTAACAAATCAAATCCAATGCTTTGAAAATCCTCTTAACATAAATAAAAATTGCTAAATCCATTTATTGTGACACTGGACCACAATGACTGGTGAAAGCTGTAGACACTGGCCATTTTCAATGATTCTATGGAAAATGATAATTCCTAATAAATTATAAATAACAAGGGCTACCTGCACAAGGAGTGCTGCTATGTGATTTGAATATTTCATCCACTGGCTGAGCCAGCTGTTGGAAACTGTTCAAAAAAAAAGACCCCAGTCTCTGCCATGTTAGTGATTACCTTAACTAATCCAAATGCATTTGTCCCTCACAAATGGAATACTGACAGTCAGAGAACTAGGATATTCACTAAGCTGCCATGTAAAATTATCTGCCAGGTTCACTTAAACAACCTTTCTACATTTAACATGCTTTATTAGTAATAGCAATTTCTTCTATAATATGTATTTTTAAAACTATTTTTTAAACTTTTTTTTTTTTTTAGTAAATCTAGGGATTTACTAAATTGGTCAAGCAATTGCTTATTAGAACATCTACAGAATATAGTTTGTAACTTAGATTGCATTTGAGTTATATGACAATTCTTGGCAAATCTAGAAAACTGAAGAGATTTTTTTAAGCAATTCACTGAAATGCTGAATAGAACATTCATTTTGAATGGTAAATAACAAATACAATGGAAATCTTCTAATTGGAATAAATGTTTTTTAACAAAGTAAGATAAAGTCGTATTTAAGCTATGCAATTTCAGTCACTGTAGAAAAGAGTAATTAAATGTGTTGAAGTAATTTAATGAAGGGAGGGGAGAAGAGGTGTGAGCAAGGCTGGGCTTCTCTACCATTGCTTGTAAACCAAGCATTTTATCAACATGTCAGAGAATAGCTGCCCTTGTATATGGTGGGCTCTTCATTCACTGTGACAATGTTTGAGTTGATAATGAAGTTGCAATATTCCTTGCATGTATAATTACATAAAATGCCTGCTGTACGATATAAGCAAAAATAATGAACTGATGGGAGTATGCCTGAATACCTGTCATGATCCACTCTTGAATAGATGCTTTTCTCTGAATTTGCCTGAGGAAAGCATTCTTTTTTGAAAAAAAAAAAAAAAAATTTTTTTTCAAAAATTTACTGTGAGGAAAAAAGCAGTCATTATAGGTCAAACTGAGTTGCATTTAAATTTTGCATAATTGTTTATTTTAGAAGTTTAGTGTAATATTAAAATCTATATTTGCTATCTCATCTCACTGGATACACAGTACATTTCTATATGCCCTTCCTGTTTTGTCATAGAAAAAAATTTTAGCTACAGATCTCAGATATATTAGACAATCCTGAGTGGCTAAAACAAAGACAGAGATGGAAAAGCTAAATGTTCTGTTCTTTATTCTACATTAGAAAGGCAGATACTGGTACTTTCAAAGAAGATGCCAAATCTCCCACAAATAATATATATAACTGCTGCGTGTGTGTGTGTGTGCGTGTGTGTAGCTAGTTAATATGACATATTCCTGCAGGGATCTGGAATTTTAGCAAAATGATCAGGCCACCCATTGAGTTCTAAAAAAAAAAAAAAAGGTAAGATGGAAAGAGACACTCAAAATTAGCAAAGATGATCTGAGGACACATTTCCAGAGAACTTTCAGTATTCCCTTTCTATACCATATGCTTAATGTTGTAGGCACTGATATTAAATTGTGTCTTAATTTTTACATTAACCTTGGATGAATTTATACTTTGAAATAAGTAAACCATTCTGATTTACAATCAGCATGCAATCATGAAAGACTATCCTGAATGCCTAGTAAAAAGAAAAGAAGAACAAAACAAAAACAAAAACAAAAAAACACTCTCAGCACTCTGTTCCTCTGTAAATTTGTCTTTACTGTTAGTTCAGTTGTCAGGCTGCAAAGAACTAAATTACTGGGGCGCCTGGGTGGCTCAGTGGGTTAAAGCCTCTGCTTTCAGCTCAGGTCATGATCCCGGGGTCCTGGGAGCTCAGGTCATGATCCCGGGGTCCTGGGATCAGGCCCTGTATGGGGCTCTCTGCTCAGCAGGGAGCCTGCTTCCTCCCTCTCTCTCTGCCTGCCTCTCTGCCTACTTGTGATATGTCTGTCAAATAAATAAATAAAATCTAAAAAAAAACAAACTAAATTACTATTTATTGCCATTTGGCAACATGCTTGAAACTCACCAAAGCAGATATTAGACATGTGCTACACTTCAATTGTTGTTATTTTTTTTCCTATGAATTTGGTGAACTATACCTTGCATAATAGAAATGTATTCCCCCACAAATTTCTCTTGAGGTTATGTAGAATTTTAAATCATTATTCTCATAGTATGTTTTTGTCTAGATTCTCATGTCTGTTTGTTTCATTATAGATTTTAATAATCAAATGATCCCATCATGATGCCATATACCAAGTAGAACAAAATATTTTAGTTTTTTTTTTTAATCTATCAATTTGAAACTTGGAAGTTAAAATGCTCTTTTCATGATGATTAAATAAGTTTTTGTCCTATATATGAAATCCATGACATGTAATTACTGAAACCTGTTTCTGTCTTAATAAACTCTATCGTGATAGAAGAAAGAAGGAAATGAGGGAAGGAAAGAAAAGAGAAAGAAAAAAAGAAGCTATTATTTTTATAACAAGTAGCCCTAGTAAAATAATTTCTGAAATAGTATTTATTTGATAATTTTCTCTATAAATATGCTAATATAATTGTTTACTTTAATCTTTTCCTTTTATTTCGCATTTCTTTAAAATAATTTATGTTAAGTAAAATGCACATTTTTTTTCTCCTAGTATTCCTTGACCATTACACATTTTTAATGTTGTAGACACATTTACAATAAGCACTTAGCATCAACTCTAAAGACAGTGAGAAGTAGGAGCATAGTTAAGCAATGTAATAAAACTACCATGTAGCACTTCAGTTTTTGATTAAGATTCTGGGTTTTTAATTTTAAATTTTATTTTTTTCAAGCTCTAACATCTTGTGACTTGTACATTTATTTTAATACTGGTTTATATTTCTATCACCACAATATATGGGGTAAAACGAATGATGAGTTGATATGGTCCTAGCTCTGTTATTAACTGGCAGTCTGACCTTATGCAAATCATTTTAAAATGAAAGAACTTATTCACATAACTGCTGAGATCCCGCCTGGATTTAAACATACTTTGCCTTCCATTACTTGATGTTTTTCTTGTAATTTGAGATATTTCAGTGTGTGTGTGTGTGTGTGTGTGTGTGTGTGTGTGTGTGTGTGTAGGAATATTTCTTTCTCCTCCCTTTTTATTCCTTTCTTATTTTTCTCCCACCTAATCACTCACATTAGGTACACTTCAGTTTCTTTATAATACAAGTTCCTAAAACATGCTCTTTGGGACACATATTCTGTGTTCTGTAAGACACTTTTGGAAAAATGATTTTGTGGTCAAATGGGTTTAGGAAATTTTGCATGCTATGGAACCTATTGGAGATTTATATGTATGTAGTATGTTAAAGATTATTCAGAATTCTTCAATAAAGTACCTGTTTTACTTTGTGTAGCCCAGGATTTCCTTTACTTAAGTATTGAACACTTGATTGATATTTTCGTGGGTACGTCTGTGAGTGTCTTTCTTTGGGTACTTGTTTCTAAGGAGGTGATATGAGTGTGTGTATAGGCCTAATATGTACCATTATCCCAAATATCTAGGGTTTTATGTTATCCACTTTGAGAAATATTGCTTTAAATGTCTTAGGGAGAATCACTCAGATTGGATTCTCTCATCACTTTTTTTTTATATATTTACTGTCTTTGTGGCTAAAGAGCTATACAAGCTGTGTGTGCACGAAGCTGTAGAGACTGACTCTAATCACAGTGTTCTAGCTATTTCTTCCTAATGGCCCA